TCTATAAACCTATCTAACTAGTTCATCACTAATTTCCTCCCCCAACCACTCAGGAGAAGAAAAATGTTTGATTTGTTGCGTATTTGCTTAAAGGAATTATTATTGACACTTTAAAAATACATGTGATACTCACTTGCAAATTTTTTTCTATGTTTTTATGGTAAAAAAATTCATGATAACTTGGATTGTCATAACAACTCCTTTTGGTTAATTATTTATTAACGTTACGCATGTGAGAAAGTATAATGTTTTTCGGTCTAACTACATTATATGGTCTCCAATGTTTGGGGTGATTTTCAAAAGGGTAATGCTAGGAGATCAAATATCTAAACCAATTGATGTAGATGTAAATGATTAGATTATTACATAAGTCTTGATTAACATGCTTATTACCTATTGATGACACATCTTTTGGTTTGTAAATTTGGTCTCCCTAACATTATTCTTTTCAAAATGGACCACAAGGTTTCAATTTTTTTACATTACTAAGGTTTTGAAATTGTATCAATTTGCACCTTTTGTCTAAGAATTATTTGAATTTTTATTAATATGATAATTTGGTGCGCTTGAAACCCGCTATTGTGATGATATATAAGCCATACTTGCACTACATTGACTAAAAAAAACTCATCAAGTTAATTGATATTTTGACATTCAAATATCCAAAAGATAAATTGATACAATTTCAAAACCTTAGGAGATAATGTAAGAAAATTGAAACCTCGTGGTCTATTTTAAAAATAATCTCAAACCTTGAAGGTCTAAAATGTAGTTAACCTTTTTTCCTTTGTATTTTAAAAATCATCTCAAACCTTGAGGGTCTGAAATGTAGTTAACCCTTTTTCTTTTGAACATAAAACTCCTTCAAGAGAGAAAAGTAACTCTTTTATGGCAGATCGACTCTACTTACATAAAAAGAAGCGAAATTGATTGCTACAATTTTAGTTTCGTTTGATACAAACTTCGATGTCAACACGCTCTTATTAGCAGACATGCGGGAGTGGCAAGGTCTTTTTTAGCATTGGGTTTGTTATCAAGGCAAGCGCAATGTGCTTTTGCAAGTGTCATAACACAAGTGGTTGAAATTTTTTATATTAACAACGAGGCAATCACACTTGGGACTCGATGCAAAGGATGAAATAAATTCTTAGCGCTTCAATTTCACTAACTGGTTTCAAACTTGGTATGTACAAAAAAGAAACTTCAGCACAATCCACTAGATTTTTGCAACCACCCCACAAAAGCCCCCAAAAACAAAAAGAGATCAAAAAACCAATTAGCCAAGAGCAATTAGGCTTACTTTGTCAGGCGGCGTTACAGCAGAAGCCGATGCATCAACAATGCAATTCTTACATCAAAAGCTAGCAGCTAGCATCCATCTGCCCCCAACGAAAAACAGGATGAGTCCGAATGGTTCATGTTCCGAATTTGAAGTCTAGCATTACCTCCTCAAGCAACAGACTCAAATTAGTCCATTTTTTGTGGAATGAAGATCCCAAAGGAGCAATCAGTCCAAGCTGTTGCATCACTCTCAATCTCCGAGCACTCACTTCTCTGGACATTGATAACACGTCTGCCCCACCTCGCTTGGAAGCTTTCCCATTTGCATTTTCAACCCTTCGTGCAACTAGATTCTTCTGCTCCACCATACTTTTGTAGTATCATGACATTTCGCTTTCTTGGAGAAACCCTTACCTAACAGCAGATTTATATGGATAATGCCAAGAATTATGACAATGCAGTATTTGAAGATAAATATGTAACCATAGACCAGCTAAAGAAACTCACAGAAATTTCCGTTCTTTGAGCTTCGGCATTCTGCAACCAACGAGGTTTGAACTCACGTTGTCTTGCAAAGGCTCAACACCTTCTCACCATTGTGGTAAAGGGCCACTTCCAGAACCTACCAAGTCTGAAGAATCTGTTTGCTGATTTTTCATCGAGTGATTACGAATGGAGTCACGCCTAGAAGGATCAACTGCTACATTTTCTGCCGGACACCATAAACATTTTGACCAGTATAAGAGTCTCAATTTGTAATAAACAATAGAGAGCTTTCCATTCAAAGGCATTTAGAGCATCTTCAATCACGCTCTCTGCTATATAGCAAAATTTTAGTTAAAATAATTCTCTAAAAGAGTTGTACTTCAACCATACTCTCTATTTTAGAGAGTTATAATAACTATGAGTCAATAATTAGTCAATAAGAATTAATTAGTTATTTAAAACAATATTTAAACGGTTTGCATTAATTATAGAGAGCCGCCAGGGCTCCTTTCTCCCTCCCTATGTTAGGATTTAGGGGTTCCTTGATGGATCCCTATCTTAGGATGTGGATACGGAGCATAATTGAAGTCGAATATTTTAAATCCTCCATCAATTGTAATTAGGAACTCCTTTTGAGATACTCTTAAGCCTTTTAAACCTCTAGTTTGGTTCAATTTGTAAGATTCTAAAAATGGGGCAAAAATTCAATAAGGGGAGTTGAATACGGCTAATTTTCAGGAGTTTATTTTTACACATCATTTTTTATTTCTCACACCCTTCTTTATTTCTGGCCATTGAAATTAAACGTTAAAAAAAAAAAGATGTGTAGGAGAAAAAGAAAAGTGCACGTTTATCATTTCTTATATTCTAAATCAGAGACGAGAAAGCAATTTACATTAAACGGATTCACTACCATGTGCCATCTCAGATCTATAAAATAAAAACAATTTTATTAGAACGAGACGTCACGATAACGGTGAATTCATTCCATTTACATCTTTCTCTAAAGGCATTTAAGATTTTTAACCTATAGTTTGGTTAAAATTGTAAAATTCTTAAAACGGGGCTAAAATTCATTATGGAGACTTGGATATATGGCTAATTTTATAGGAAGTTTGATATATCATTTCTCTCTACCAAATATTCCCATATGTGTACATGATTCATCATTAAGATCACATACGAAATGAGATGAAAGACCCAGGTCTCTGCAGAATCCGGTTAAAATTGGAAACCTGGATTTTTATTTGGAATTGGATATGGGTAACTAAATTCAAATTCTTGAGCTTGACTAGCCAGTGGCCACGATTTTACTATGCATATTTCTTTTACCTTACAAAGGCTCAAGGCTGGAACGAGTCGTGATGGAAGAACCGAGTTCGAGGAGTGTACGTATGTACTTAGTAATAACTATTACATGAAACTGCGATGCTGAGGTGACAGTATTCTCAACCAATCACGCAATGTCATGCAAGCAAGTTAAAGCATATGGGCGGTGGTGCCTGATAGGTTTGAGATATAGCCACCTTGGCTTAGAGGTGTCTCAATTAGCAGTTGCTGGAACTTCACACCTTCCTGCTTACCCAGTAACATTACAAAAGGGCCAACAAATCCAGACCCAAAAAAAAGAAGAAACCGAAAAGAAGAAGACAAGTCACACACTAATTCTAGCGAAACGTTCGATGTTTTCCGTACTATGCAAATAGAAATCTTATCAAACCATATGTGCATACTTTTGGCAATGTTCTACTTTATAAAATCGAAGGAATTGATCTGATAAGAAGAGAATTAATACGGATATGCACGACGCTCAGAATGGCAAAGAAATAACGACAATGATGTTACTATCAAAATGCTGTCTCAATCTAGGAAAGGTGAAACCAGTAAAGTTTATGCAACTGTATGAGTTACGAATCACCGCAATGGCTTGTAGTCTTACATGTACCAAGTAGATATTATTGCTTTAACCTTACACCTCCCTCTAGAGTCTGTAAACAACTAATATGTCTTCCACATTCAGTAGGATGTCTAGCGGTCAACCCTTTATAGCCTACGGGTTTCTGGTTTAGCCTATTAGATGTTCAAAATCAAACTGAACTTACAAAATCACTTTACACTATTACCACATAACAGTATGAAGCATAGCTAACTAGCATACTTCAGCAGCTGCAGCAAAATCAGTCACTCAATTCATTCATAACAGAGGATGCAGTAGCTGCTATCACGCAGCCGCTGCAACTATAGAAGTAATTATACAATGTATGGAGTGAAGATTATTCCTAGAAGTACATCGAGACGGAAGATGTGGAAATGGAAATGAATAAATAATCACTCGGTTATTGACTGGTTGGACTGGTTAGAATTGCCTGACTGAAAGGGAATTTAAGCAGTACTTGCAATTCGACAGCTCTACGATACGCACTTTAGCCTCTGTTCATTTATTTGGGTAGACACAATTTTGGTGACTGCGTTTTGATACAAAATCACTACTGTCATTGTTTTAGTTTTCCAGTATTGGTCAAGGGGGTTCTCAGTTAGCAATTACGTCCAATTTGTAACTTCCATTAATTGAATTAATAGTTTAGGGGATTAGATATCATTTTACCTAATGGGTTGAATACTCATTGACATATGATCTGATACGAAGCAACACTTGGAAATTCTCTATCTGTATCTTCGATTCAAAGTTATAATTCTAACTTTCTTTCCTTTCTAATCGAATGTTTTAATTTGGTAAATTCATATTCTAGGTTCAATTCAATTGACATAAGTGACATAAGTTCAATGGTGGACTTAAATTGCTACCGGAGTCAATTACCGCGACAAAATTGGTAACAACAAAATGACAATGATCAAGCATGATTCCCAGTCATAACAATGGGATCAAAATTGTGTTTTACCCTATTTAATTTAAGTCTTCTTGTTTGTCTGTCAACTTCTGCATTCTGTTACCTATTGAATATCACACAATAACTACCTTAGCAAAAGAACAATTACAAACATTATCGTCAACAGAAAATCATACAACTCAAAGTGTTAAAAACAAGGTCTCAGTTATGTTGGTAGAAGTGAACCGAGAAACTCGTACAAACTAAAACGCCTAAGATGGTTCAGCTAATCAGCTAACCCGATCAGACATGTCCCAACAGAATGTACATGTGCATTCATTCAATATCACCGAACACACCAACAATATATATCCGAACACGACAACAAGAACAAGAGGCTCAATAGACAGGTTGACAACGCTTAATGAAACGACATTGGGCAAAATACAGAACAAGGATATTACTGATTACACATCAACTACAAAATCTATAAATGCAGTCAGTTTCATAACTTAAGAAGAGAACATCCGAACATCTACAACCAACAATTACATTCTAAAGAAAAATCAACAACAGCAAAAGTAAAGACTGTAAAGAGTTACCTTCCGAGTTTTCGAAACTCAGCAGCTTCAAAAAACCAACCTAAAAATTTCTCTCTGCCAGTCCTAAAGCATTCCATTACAACGAGTCTTCTTCTGCTCATGCATACTTCTTGGGTCGTCCTCTCTTCTTCGGAATCCGATTAGTCCCCAATCCCGGGGTCCCATCCGAAACATCCACCACTCCACCTGAATTCGGCACCACGGGCACCGCCGGGGGCACTGACGCTGCAGTCACCGAAGTTTTACTCTGCGGGGTTGTAAAGACAGGTGGCATCCAATTGGGAAAGGCCGCAGTGGCTGCGGCCGTGGACTTACCCTTCGCCCCGCTCCCGCCAACAAATCCCATCGGAAAAAACCCCCAACAGCAGTAGTAAGCCTCCTGTCCCTGCACCATTGGCGGCAAATTCGGCACAACAACCGCCTCAAACCCTCTCTTACAATTCTGACACCTCAAACAGCAGCTCTCGTAAACCCTAGGGTACTCGTACAGCACGTAACAGTACGGGCAAGTCGTCCAGAAAGTCGACAATCTCGACCTCGGCTGCTGCTGGCCGTCGTTTCCCACCCCGGCGTCGGTTCGGGCCCGGCTGTCCCGCCGCACCGGCAATTTGTTCGAAATCGAAGAGCCGAGATCGATCCGGCTGAACGGCCCCAGCTCGTTGTCGTAAATCTGCTTCTTGGCCGGATCGGACAGAACCGCCCATGCATCGGCTACGAGCTTGAACGCGTGCTCGGCGTAGGCGTACTTGTTCTTGTCCGGGTGGAGGAGTAACGCTAGCCGTCGGTAAGATTTCTTGATGTGATCGAGGTCGTCGGATCGGCGATCGGACAGGAGAACGGCGTACCAGTCGGGGTGGTTGTTGACGCGTTTGTCGGCGGCTAAGAGCACATCGGCGACGGCCAAGATCTGATCTGAGCCCTCCAGCAACGGCTCGGTCTCCTGAGCTAGAATTGCGAAGTCGCGGCAGCTGCTGAGATCCCGGCTGTGTAGAAGCTTCTCGGCGATTCCGAGCAACCGCTCGGCTTCTACCCTGTTTGGATCCATGGATTCCCTGGCTTCGGAATTCTGGGAAAAGCAAATGCCAAATGCCAAATACCGAAATGGGGAAATTGGAAGCGGAGATGTTTCTACTTCCACTTGCAGAGTGTTATTGATTGGGTCTAGATTTTGCATTCAATGGCAGGGAATTTTAGAGCTCGATTACTTTTGGTACGGGCTGTTTTCGTCATTTAATAAATAATAAAATATGGCATGATCGTCTCTCCCTTCGCTGACGCACTGTTTTCGAATCGGAATCGGGGCTATGGAAATGGTGGGCGTAAAACAAAGTGCACGGAAGCGTGAGAGTTGTCTAGTTCATGTGGTTTCACGGTATTTTTTCTATTTCATACGCTTCTGTTTATTTTGACATTGTGATTATAAAAATTCAAAAAAAAATTAAATTAAATCGTGCAAATTTATATTTTGAAGAATAATGTCAGGGAGATCAATTCTGTAAACCAAATGATGTGGATTTTAATGATTGGATTATTACTTAATTATTTATTAACGTGTTTATTTTCTATTGATGACACATCATTTAGTTTGCAAATTAGGAGTTTTAACAAAACACCCCCGGTACTGTTAACTTTTAACGAAAAACCACATTTTTACCTTTAACTGTCACTATTCACTATACATTTAAAAAGAGATTTTCATTAAAAATGAAGTTTTTTTTTTTTACTTTTCGTTAGTTTTCATTTGCAAATTTGGTTTAAAAATTTAGTCTTCCTAGCATTACCCTATTTTGAAAGACCATGACCCAATGTCATTACTCTAATTAATATTACCTTCTTCAGATCAAGAAATTGGGAATGTAACAACACCGCACTTCTTAAGAGCAACTCCAGCATATCAAGGCCCCTTAGGGCAACATGCAATTGAATAGCCCCCAGTGAACAGTAATTGTCTTTAATGAACAGTAATTGCATTTTGCATCTCTACCTTTAAACTGAATAGCCATGGCAATATGCAATAAAACATTAGTATTTTTTTATTTTATAAAATAATAAAAAAATAATTTTATTTCAAATTTCCGATATGATTTTTAATCGGTCTCGTTGTACCACGTTTCATTAAATAAGAAATTACAACCCAAAATATTTGAGAAAATATAAAATTGTGGTGTAAGGTGGAAGATAATGATAAGATATTTATAGAAAAATTAAATCTTTTTTTTTCTGATTTTTTATTAATTGTTTACATTTTTTTATTTTTTTATTAATTGTTTATTGCTTTTTTACATTTTTTTATTAATTTTTACATTTTTTATTAATTTTATAACGTGATTGGCCTCAGGCTCTCGGGCCACCAATTCGAGCCGGGCCTTTAACTCGGGCCCCCCCTCAGCCCACATGCCCGCACGGGCTGAAGCAAATAGCTAGGGCTATTGGGTCAAAAAAGTCATCGGTCCATCGGGCTATATGTCCCGTTGGAGTTGCTCAAAGGGACCATAGTTTATAACTAGTCTAAATCAACTCTCATCTAGGTTAGGCTTAAAAGGATGTAGCATGATCATGCTTACAATAGATGACTTGGGGAACATGAATTTTCCTGAGTCGAAGTAAGACGTATCGGAATACAAGTGCATACTAAGTCTGGTCATGGGCTAACTAGCTTCGATTGGGCTCGGCTGTACAAAGGGAAAAACGATGCCACCACACCCTGTTGGGCTCCAAAATGGTTGGCAAGGCCGGCAAATCTTATTGAGAATGACAATGCTTGCTCCGTAAGATACAAGATTTATTTCGATTGACTATTTTCTTATAATTTTGGATAGTCCTACAATCTACGGATTGACTTAAGACTCAAGTAATCACAATCCTACAAAGAAAGAAATATTTATTACTAGATATCTGCTAGGATTCTTTCGGATTTATAAAGATTCACTATCCTAAAAGGTCTCCCATGACTACTATAAATATACCCTCAAATGGATTAACATGGTAACACATATTTTGCTTTCATATTCGCTATATTGCCTACTTCTTAAGTTCTAAGATATTTACACTAACTTGACCGTTAGAGAACCATTGGATAGTACCTAACGGGTGCCTAATGAATTCACGATTTGTTTCTATTTCTTGCATGAAGCAATCCTAATTCGGTCAAAGACGCTCTTTCGACTCTGGAGCAGCCCATGGTGATTTTAACCAAGGTTACACAAGTTGTTGACAACTTTCAGAAGATCTATAAGGCTAGTCAGGCAGAAAGCCGCAGCGACTTCGTCGACATAGAGAGATGGACGAAGGCCTTGGATAATGCTTACGGAACTAACCCATATACCCAAATTTCAGTCTCGAAATTCAGGTTCTGAGTACATCAACTCTAGAAGGACACCCGCTTGAAACTCCTCCTTCAGTCTCAACGAAAAAGCCTACTCTTAATTAGCCCCCGGGAGCAGCGTAGCGATCGAATTGTCACTCACACGACTAAAGGCGGGGTCCGTAATCAATAGTACCTCAAACCTTTAGGCACTACAATAGTTTATCTTGTATTGCACAGGCACCCTAACTTCGATGAGCTGGAATCCTCTAAGGACCATGAGCTCGCAGACCTCTAAATCGCGATAACTTTAAGGACGCTTTGAGAGATGCTCAAAACCAAGTCTCAAGTAGGGTTTTTGCAAAGGTCAAAAGTCCTATTTCCTCCTCCATAAAGGCCATTCTTCCTCCGAAAAAAGTTTACTTTGCCCCAATTCAAGGGTTACCGCGGAAATTCCGATCTGGACAACCACATCATGCATTATCGGATCGTTATGTATAGCAACACTGTGTGGATGTGCAAGATTTTTCCTTCCATTATTGAAGAACCTGCTATGAGATGGTATTCAGAGTTGCCTTCACGCTCAGTTAGCAACTTTGAGACATTAGCTAAAGATTTACTGTAAACTTCTTTGCGTACCGAGACGTTAAAAAATGCCACGAAGTTATGTTTAGCATGAAGCCCCAATCTAAACACGAAAGTGTAAGAAACTACCTTGAATGATTCTGAGCAAATTAAGCTAAAGTAGAAAGGCCTGATGAGAAGCTCGTTGTCATGGCTTTCAAGGGAGGACTTTATGGGTGCGTTTGTTGCACCAGACTGTCTCAGACTGGACTAGCTTTAGGGATAAAGCTGGACTGGCTTAAACTAGACTAAGCTGAACTAGCTTAGTGAAGCGTTTGGTGCAGTGTCGGACTAGAAAGCAGGATAATGAAAACAGTAATGTCACCACTTTCTCTTCGTGATTATACATCGTATATTATAAGTCATAACATTTGCTGCTGAACAACTTTAAAGTAATTTTCATACAGGTATCTCCAAGATAAATAAAAACAGAGGAATTAGAATTCTCTGCTTCGAATGATTAACTCATGGAATCGTGCCATGCGAGGGAGATTAAACCTGACATTATGTCATTAACAACTTTCGTGTGATTATTAACCCATGAAACAGGGAAGGCAGAATTCAAGCAAATGGGTCATTCAACAGGTTCAACTATTAAGCTTTTACGGTAAATAAATTTGAAGAGAAAATTGACAGCAGCCAAACACGGGCATATGATGCATATGCTTAGGAGTCAAGACTATGTTTCCGCCCCAGTCTCAGCAAATGAAGCATCAATTGCAAAAGTCTGGGCTTCGAATAGCTTCGCTTGGCGTTCTGCATGTTCTCTTTCACACTGAGTGATTCCCATTATAATGTCAAGCATGGTACCTGTTGTGCCGAAGAACACAAGCGGTGCTAAAGTTTCCTTTTTATCCCCACTGGAATCGCTAACAAAGCCCCTGCTACGGAGAAAACCCAAGTGCCCATTGCGCTGCAAATAGCCATGCACAACATCATTCAACTGCACTTTAAGCTAGCAAATAAATCATAATAAACTTAAATGGGAAAGATTGTATCTACGATGCCAAAGAGAAGTACGGCTTGTGAACCATAAGGTGAAATTTGTCATGCTCTAATGAAGTTGAGTGATGTGTTGCTGGTTTAGCCAGATTTTTCTGATAAACACATAATTTCTCTCTTTCGTGTAACGGCATGGGTCAATGAGACAATTAAAACAATTAAATTGAGTAAAAACCTCTGCAGGATTGCGAACCATAAAATTGTGGAAGAAGACATCACAGAAACTGTGTATGGAGTCCAATGAGTCAATAACTAATACTGACAGGAGCAAAAACATGCTTGAATCACTTGTACAAGTTTTAGTAGACAGGTCTAAACTCTCCATGATAACTAGAAGTCACTATAGTCAAATGTACAAGTATCCTGGTTTATAACAAAATCTTAAAGTTCAACACGAACTTGGTGATCTCCTAGCGCCACGGGGATTTGTTAATATCAATTTGTTTGATATTCCTTTAGATAGGTGAACTCCACAACAACAACAACAACAAGGCATTTTCCCACTAAGTGGGGTCGGCTATATGAATCCTAGAACGCCATTGCGCTCGGTTTTGTGTCATGTCCTCCGTTAGATCCAAGTACTCTAAGTCTTTTCTTAGGGTTTCTTCCAAAGTTTTCCTAGGTCTTCCTCTACCCCTTCGGCCCTGAACCTCTATCCCGTAGTCACATCTTCGAACCGGAGCGTCAGTAGGCCTTCTTTGCACATGTCCAAACCCATTTTGTGTACGTATTGATGCTTCACCGCCCAACATTCTGTGTCATACAGCATCGCCGGCCTTATTGCCGTCCTATAAAATTTTCCCTTGAGCTTTAGTGGCCTACGACGGTCACACAACACGCCGGATGCACTCTTCCACTTCATCCATCCAGCTTGTATTCTATGGTTGAGATCTCCATCTAATTCTCCGTTCTTTTGCAAGATAGATCCTAGGTAGCGAAAACGGTCGCTCTTTGGTATTTCCTGATCTCCGATCCTCACCCCTAACTCATTTTGGCCTCCATTTGCACTGAACTTGCACTCCATATATTCTGTCTTTGATCGGCTTAGGCGAAGACTTTTATATTCCAACACTTCTCTCCAAAGGTTAAGCTTCGCATTTACCCCTCCTGAGTTTCATCTATCAACACTATATCGTTTGCAAAAAGCATACACCAAGGAATATCATCTTGAATATGTCATGTTAACTCATCCATTACCAACGCAAAAAGGTAAGGACTTAAGGATTGTTGATGCACAAAATCAGGACTTTGGTACAACAGAAAGTATTAAGTTTGTGATCTTTGCTAGATTGCTCTGGTCATTAGTGTGGATAAGTATGTAAATGGATAGAGACAGGAAAGCAAACACAAGATGTACGTGGTTCACCCAGATTGGCTACGTCCACGGAGT